TCATTTCTAAAAATATACCCTGGGTACCCTAAAATATCCAAAAACTTGCTTTGGAAGAATTTTCCTTTATTATTATTATTATTCTTAGATTATTATTATTATTATTATTATTATTATTATTATTATTGTGTGACTATTACTATTATTATTTATATTACGGAGTATTATTATTATTGTGATCGTTATTATTATTACTATTACTAGTGTTACTATTATCACAGAGTATTATTATTATTATTAGTCATTTCATCATTATCTTCCGCAGCTGTAACTCGCTTCCGCGTTGCCTATTGAGTTGCATTGGATTTTCGCTACACGCACTAGAATAATAATAATAATAATAATAATAATAATAATAATAATCGTGATAGTAATAGTAATAGTAATAGTAATAATAATAATAATAATAATAATATGAGAAAAGGAAAACCCCTCATAGTAACTTTTTGGATATTTTAGGGTACCCCAGAGTATATTTTTAAAAATGATGGGACCTAAAAGTTACTTTTACAAAGTTGGGGGTACCTAAAAGCAACTTTAAGAAACAAAATGATGAAAAGTTAACGGAGAAAATGAATTTGACGGAGGGAAGGATGGAAAGTCTTCCCGAAGTTATTTTTTGGATAATTAAAGGTACCCCGGAGTATATTTTTAAAAAAGATGGGACCTGTGAGTTGTTTTCACAAAACCGAGGGTACCTGACAACAATTTTCTGTATAAAAATTCATCATCTTTATCCATGTTTAATGTGTTATGTTATAAATATCAATATATAGTATTACTCTATTCATCTCTGAGTATTTGTGTACTTTTAACTTTTTTGGTCAACATTAAAAGAAAACCCCTTAAATAGGTGTAAAACATGGATCATATCTTCAAAATAGGAGTTCAAACTTAAACTTCTCTAAATAGGAGTAATTAATTAATTATATGTTTGAATCAACCGACAGGATCAAGAATTGCCAGAAATTGTTCAATTTAAATGAATAGATGAAAGCCGGAAAACCAGAGCTACGCTGAATCCGAAGAAAGACAAAACACCAACAAGAGCTTCTTAGCTCATCATCTTCTACTAAGTACTGCTATGCATTTCTATGCATGTATCATTAGAGTAGGCCATCCAATCTTTGTTTTATTAAGGAACATTTAAACCATTATCAATAGCCACCGCCGTATATATATGAAATGATGTCGAAGATTAGTTCTTTTTTTGCTATAATAATAAAAAAGGTAACAATGAATTGGTCTACCAGTAAAACTTTCGTTGCATGCTTTTAGTGAGTTGTAGAAGATTATTACATTTCAAGTATCTACTACATAGTGTCATTAGATTTGGTTTAGCATTATGTCATTGTGTAACATTATAATATTATATATGAGTATATGTGGCATTATATATGGGCATCTATGGTATTATATATTGTCATATGTGACATTGCATGGTGCCATATTTGACATTATTATTTATTTCTTTGACACTGTATTGACTATTAATGTGGCATTGTGGCGACGATGGTACAGATTGTGATGGTAGTATTGTTGATAATGGTATAGAGCGGTGATATCGTCGGTGGTGATAACGAAAAATCAAAGGCGTCAATAGTAAATTTCGTTTGTAGCAGTGCGGCGGAACAGAGGACGGCGGTGGTGGAGATTCAAGTGATAATGGCAGGTTTGTGGCGGCGGCGGCAAGCATCACCGTCGACGACGATTGCGGCAGTGGGTGTCGCTGTCCGTACCACTGGTACCACTGGTATTGGGCGCTGTCCGTACCACTGGTATTGGCCGCAAATGCAGTGCGTGTGGAAGCATTTTTTATTAATTAAGTTAAAATCTTTTTTTAACCTTTTATAAAAAAAATAAAAAAAATAAAAAACTCAAAAACCTAACTGCAAAAAAAGTTGCATGCAGTGGGTAATCGTGCTCCTTAATATAGTTGCATGCATCTTAAAAAAAATGTGCGTGTTGGGACCTTTTTTTATTAATTATGTTAATTACTCCTATTTAGAGGAGTTTAAGTTTGAACTCATATTTTGAGAAAATGACATACGTTTTACTCCTAGTTTGTTCCTTCTCCCCAAAATTAATCAACTTTGACCTTAAATTAAAAAAAAAATTTATTAAATAGTGATACAAAAATAATTTTATTAGATTTATTATGTCAAATATTTTCAAAATATTATTTTATTTAATTAATATACAGATTTAGTTATTGATCAAAAATAAAAAATAATCGATCGGAAACAAATCAAAACTAGACAAGTACTAAAAAAACAAAAATAGTATTAGATAATCATCATATGTACATACCTTTTTAAGACATAGATTCTGTAAGTTAATTGGATTGTTTTAAGTTTACACAGAGTTAACTAGATTCTGATGTATTCCATCAAAGGATTTTATAGGATTATTTCTTTTCTTTTTCCCTTCTTTTCTTTTTTCTTTTTTTCTTCTTTTCTTTTTTCTCTTTCCTTTTCTTTTTCTTTTTTTTCTCCTTCCCCCATGAACCCTAGTCGCCTCCCGTCCCCTTCTTTCTATTTTCTTTCCTTTTTTCTTTTGGAAAAATTATCTCAAATAATCCCACATTTTCGTGCTCTTTCAAAAATAATCCCACTTTTCACTGTCACCGAAAATAATCCCACCTTTTCGCATGTGTGCGAGTTTTGGGTCACCGTTAAAATACTAACGGCCACTTAACGGAAGTTTTTGAAAATGCATGTTTTTTGCAAATAAATGAAAGGTGGGATTATTTTAGAAAAATTTACTTTTTACTTTTTTAGTTTTGAATTTAAAATTAATATTTTTAAAAATATAACAATACACTCTTGTTAGAGATTTGTCTAACGATTAACAAATTTTGTTAATTGTTTTGGGAAAATATAGTATTGAATTATCAAAAATAATTCAGAGTATCGATCAAGAAAGAAATTACAATAAAAAAAATTGTAGTGATTTATAAAATTTATGGGTTCCGTTTC